AAATCACCTCAAATCGCCATGACGACAGAAAAGGTCGTTTGTGTGTTTTCTGTATGTTCGGATTAGATTGTTTGCTGGGTTATTAAACGCAGCTTTCAGCTGCTTGTCTCCACATGATGTATTCAAAATCCCTCCAGAGTAACTCTCTTTTATCCTCTTGCTGAGAGCATTCTGTTACACAATTGCAACACTGCAGGCTATTTAAAGCAGTAGTTAAAAAAAAACTGATGAAATGGTCGCATGTGTTCCTAATTAACGTTTCTGTGAAGGCGATGCAAACAAAACACGTGAGAACTCGAGGGAAAAGTGGTCATTTGGATTTAGAAAGTGGATTTTTCTTTCTTTTTTTGTTGAAAGCGGTTCAAATTATTTTTAATGTGCAACATTATAAGTGATTGCCATACGTTAGGTTACTTTTTTATTTATTGTTTAATTTATAAGACCATTACGGCTGTTAATTTAATAAAAGCAACGCGCAGTCAGATTTCCTATAAGACAGATGGATTTGTGGGACACCAGCGGCTCTGTAATTTCGGAAACTCTGGTTACCAAAAGTGTAACTGCGAGATGAGTTTAACAACCATTTACCTTTGTCTGGTTTCATTCATCAAACCACAAGTGGAGGACTCCTAACACAGGGGGCTATTTGTTTGCTTTACACAAGCTGCTGGGTGCGATTTCACGTTTGAGATATCTGTCTGAAAGCGAAACATTTATTATCCTAAGTTGTCAGAGAGGCTATTTCTTCCTAAACCTGCTTGGCGCAGAGCGGCAGCGTTCTGCAGCGGGCGGAAACGTCACATTGGCGTCACACGTCACTACATTCCACTTATGCCAGAGCCTTTTTTTATATTCCCTGCTCACATTTGATAAATTCTGCTGTTTGAGACAATAACGCTTTCCAGATAGTATGACTGGGAGCCCCGCTGAAGGATGACGCGGCTTATTTTCTCATAGTGCCTCGTGCGTAAAAATGATGACAACACGTTGGAGGACAACAAGTGCTTCTGCTCATCCATCCAGGCTTGCTAACACGTCTGGGAAGCACACTTGCCCCCTGAAACTGAATATTTCTGAGGGATATCTGCTCCATTCTCCAACCTGAGTCACTTGTTCTTGTTCCTCGCTGCACAGGCAGAGAGGCGTAAATCGTGATTACAGTATGGCTGTTCTGAGAATCCGTCTGCAGACCACACTGGCACCACTTAAGCCATGGATCAGATCCAGAGTCCTTCTGGGAGTAAAATGCAACACAAGAGGACGCCTCGCTTGTTTTCGTGCGTGATGACCACACACACAAGGCTTCCTATTATTTTGCATATATGTGTTTCTGTATGTCTGAGTGCGGGAACGTTCCCCCGCAAGCGCGCAAACGTCCACAAAGCGTACGCGAACGTGCTCGTGCTGGTGCCTGAGAAAGAGAAAGCGAGGAGAGGGAGAGATGATTGTGAGAAAGGCTGGATCGCTGTGTAAGCGGATCTCTTTGTGTTGATTTAGGAAGACGTTTGCTGTATATAACGTTCAAGGCTGATAATATCATTGCCTGGCCAGATAAATAAAGCATTGGCCAAAACCATCGGGTCAGCTATCGATCCGCTTTTTCTCCCTGAGAGAGTGAAAAAAGCGGGGTGGACAGGAGGCGGAGGAGGAGGAGGGGGGGAGGAGGACAGGGAGGAGGGGGAGACTGAGAAAGAAGGAGAAAAAGAGAGAGAGACCTCACTCATTAGCATTCCAGAGCCATGGACTAAACGCTGACAACTAACAGAGATATCCAGCTCTACACCACTGCACGCACCACCACCCCCTATCCACCGCCACCCCTTTGTCTTCCTCCTCCTCTCTCTCTCTCTCTCTTCTCTCTCTCTCTCTCTCCTCTCTCTCTCTCTCTCTCTCTCTCTCTCTCTCTCTCCCTCTCTCTCTCTCTCTCTCTCTCTCTCTCTCTCTCTCTCTCTCTCTCTCTCTCTCTCTCTCTCTCTCTCTCTCTCTCTCTCTCTTTCTCTCTCTCTCTCCACCCAGCCCTTCATTTCCAGCGGACAGATCTCTCGTCACAGCCAGCGCATTTTATTTATGCCCTCTTCACTTCTTTTGCACGAATGGACCCTTGCACAAGAGAGAGAGAGAGAAAGCTTCTAGTTAAAGCAGAGGAGAAAAAAGAAAGAGAGGTGGGGAGAGTGGGGGGTGATGTTGTAAAAGCTGTGCAGAAGTGACAACGCTACGCGCACCGGCTTTGCTTGAGAAAGACAAAATTGTGTGTGACGTGACAAAATGGAAAAGGGAGACGTTTTAAATTGCAACCTTAAATGCTATTACTTCGATATTTTAGGTGAGGGGGGGGAAAGTAGATTTGGAGGAGAGGGTAGATAATCAAATTGCAGGGGATTCATTTTACTTTGATTTGGAAGTTTAGTTTAATTTTGGATAATAATATTAAACTCCTCATAGGACCTATTATTATTATTATTATTATTATTATTATTATTATTATTATTATTATTATTATTATTATTATTATTATTATTATTGTGACCAATAACCCCCAATTTCTATTTCCAAAGACTGCCAATTACGTCTTTTTTCCTTCTTCAGACGACTATATCTTAATATACGCGCAAGTCTCGCCCAAAACTGACAGCTGTTCTTCTGATAGTAACTTCTTTCCAAGATTTTTTTTCTCTCCTCCCCTCCCACCCTGGGGCCCCCCCAGTCTCTGTCTTGCTTTGTTGTTTTAAAATATGCATGTCTCTCCGGAATGCCAGTCACGGGTCCAAACTTTGTGTGTCCCAACCTCCCACATGATGAAATGATCCTTTTAAAGCGGGCTCAATATGTCTCAATCTGCACTCCTCTCCCCTCTGTCTAAAAAAAGCTGCTGGGTTCGGGACGCAGCCCAGAAATATATTAATTAAAGCTCATTTTGCTGGGGACGGACCTTTTTTTTTTAAATAAATCACTGAGGAGCAAGACGCTGTTGGACCAAGTCGAACTCTGTCAGCGATGGATGGATGAAGATTCACGGCAGCAAAAAGGAGGAAAAGAA